ACGTGGAATCTACAGGAGGGACACATATCATTCCTTCAAATAATATTCCCTTATTTGGTGTCCTGATAATTCACGTGGGAGAGATTGCTTTGTGACACATTTTCCAAATTCCGTCCTGGGTAAAGAGCTGTGAAAGGCCCTCGCACAATATTGAAATCAGATTCACCATTCAGGGAACTCTTGTGGAATTATTTGTATTCATAATTCCACCTATTTATTCAGGTTGTTAGAGCCTGTTCTAAAAATAAAATTGCATTTCTGCTTGTGATTAGATTCAGGCTTCAGCTGAGCTGCCTGCTGATGACATTTTATTTATTATTCTTGTCATTGACATTTAAACTACCAGGATAAAATAGGATCATTATTAGTTGATTATTATCTAAAAATAATTAGTATTCCCTGGGGACGTTTAGTTATTTGTAATAATCGCAGATGTCGTCAGTGATCTGTGCAAATCTACAATATTAAAAATGAGTCTACTAAACGCCCCATATGAAAGAACAACATATCTTTTCACACACAGAGGTCATGTGATAATCTAAGTCCGGCATAAATCTCTATCTACTTAATTTGGGGTGGTTACGTTTTATTTTCCTTTGCATTTGACAAAGATAATAACTTGCAACAATATTTCACAAAATGTTGAAAATTGCAAAATGTCATGAATCAGTATAATTTCTACATCAAAAGTATAGAGTCGTCATCGGTTTAACCTCACTGGGACAGATGCTTGCTCTTGTTAACATGTGTTAACCGCATCGAGGAGATGTGTAAGAAAATGTGAAAGAAATGTGAGAGAAAGTGCAGTGGGTAAAGATTACACAAAGACTGCAATCGCCACCACAGTGGATCGTCCTAATTGTGTCGGACTACCAAAGCTATTTCCTGAAACTTTTGTGTTCATGCCTCATTCCTTTTCATCATGAGCACTGCACAGACTTTAGAAGATCACTGAGAGTTAAAAGATGTTTTCTCCTCATCTTTTTTTAACTCTGCCACAACCGGATCCACCACAAGGACCTCTTTCACCGTAACACACTCTGACCTGCAATTACCGGCTTCATCACTCAATCAAGGATGCACTCAGCAACAGGAAATTGACAGAGGAATGTGGCCAAAAATAGCTGTGCCATTTTCCTCTTGTCAGACATACAGTTTCCTGTTTCTAATGCCTGAAAACTGAAAAAGGTCGTATTGGAATGGAAATGTGCATACACCTCTGCATGTCACAGAGGTAATTATTGAAGGGGGCCTCACATTGATCAGACTCTGGTTTTCCACAACGCTTTGGTTTGCGGTTTAATTTTCACAACTGTCGCTTTATGAGCACATTTCTAACCGTGTGCAAATATGTCTGTATGCATCAATATTAATAAATATTGCAGAAACGTGTGCTCCTTCTGCTTGGCCATCATGTCGGCCATCTAACTGTTTTAAAAGGTTTCATCTCTTATTATATGCTCTACTTAAAAATAATATTGGTCACAAAGATACTCATGCATAGACATAAATGTAGGCATGAATACAGTCACAACCCAGAGTACGTATCTCTCCATGTGTGTAAAGGAGATTCCCACTGTTGATCTTAGTGCAAAGATTCCAAACAGGTGACATGTGCTGCTCCCACAACAATGTAACATGTTCAAAAATATGCACATACATCTGTGTCATCGGATTTTGAAAGAAAAAGGTGACTAAATTTCTAGCACTGAATATTTATGCATTGATATCATGTATCTGAATGTTTTTCAACGTTAAAATATTCAACTGCAAAAAATTCAACCGCAAATAATTCAACCGCAAAAAATTCAATGCAAAAATTCAATACAAAAAAATTCAATGCAAAAATTCAATGCAAAAAAAATCAATGCAAAAATTCAATGCAAAAAAATTCGAACCGCAACATCCGGGAACCCAAGGAAGAGCAATCGATTCTAGATTCAAGATCGGGAGCGTACGTCAAGCAAAAGGAGCGAGCGCCCCAATACAACTTCGGCTTGTCGACTATGATGACCGAATTTCAGCCATGTCCATTAATAATGGGGCTTCGTTGAGTGTTTTAACTTTAACTTCAAAAACTTTCAAAACTTTCAAAACTCCGCCAATCACTCCTAATAGCTCGTTGAAGCATCCCAGCATCAGCTGTCTATTACTGAATCTTACAGACACAAACCACACTGATGGCATGAAGTTAAAGTTAAAACACTCAACGAAGCCCCATATTTACTTCCATACATGCACTGAAAGGCTTGAACAATGAGTCAGGGGAAGTTGTCTCCTTTTTTTCAGTAAAAGATAAAAGGCCTGCTGCGAGTTTACAGCAAGAGAAAAATGTGGTGCGGTGTAATTCAGACAAATAAATAAAAGGTGTATTCATCAGTTTAAAACTTTTTGTATGGGCCAGCTAATCAGAACCAATCCTCCATGATTACTACGTCGTTGGGAGGTCATCCAACGCAACCTTGGTAGGATGATGACTGCAATTCATCTTTAGACTGCACCGGATTCTCACGCCCACTCTGGAAGTGCGCCGGTTGGAAGGTCACCTGCCTCAATGGAAGATCAGGCAGCAAATTGGTCCCTGATCAATTCAACAGCCTCGTCAGCAGATCCGCCTGACGTCCCAGACCGGAGGGTATCCCACATCAGCCTCTGGCAGGCAAAGCCTACGAACATTTACTCCATATAAAAGATGGCGAGTCAAGGACTTTATTTCGTTAACCCTAGGGTAACCCTAGAGTTTTTTCTGCACCAACTTGTGTATAAATATATTTGTTTGTGGAAAAGAAAACACAAATTCAGGTGCCAGATGACAATACAAAATATAAAATTTGCCCTAGCATGTTGAATTTTTAAATCCCTTGACTTTTAAATCCCACAGTTCTATAAGGAGGATTTCTGCTTGGATTCACAACTTCCTTCTCTTCAGAAAACCCCATAAATCATACGTGCTCCTAGTCTAATGAATACATTGTTACTATTTTGGGAATTAAGAGGCTTTTGGGGTTTTGGGTTGAGTTTAGGGTGAAATAAGGGTCATGATATTTCAAGAAAATATTCTTTGCAACACGTTGCTGCTCTGCTGATGTGGTGGTATCCTCTTCACAAAGCGTCTTTGTGCTACTGTTCTTCAGAGACGGAATTCACTAAAAAACGTTCTGATAGGGCATGAACCCAAACCCTTGTGTGGCTTACTATTCACACAAATCTAACTGTCACCTCCTCCAATAGAGTGCAGCTCGTCCCATAGCTTTACAGTTGGAGGCGTCCTCGTTGCAGTATAATATGTTGACTAAATTCTTTGAACATTTTTCGACGGATATGTATTCAGCTCAGCCCTGGTCTGAAGGCTCTATCAGAGTGATGGAGGGTATTTAAGAAGGGTACGTATTAGAGGTATCGTAACGTCACCCATTGGTGTGAGGACTGTTTGTGTTCTGCAATTTTGTCGTTGCGATCTTTGGCGAACTAACGTAACGATATTTGGAATGGGACAAAGGAACGTAGAGGCCCCATGTATATGGTTCTGGCAGCTGCAGAGACCTATCTATCATAGTAAGCCTAGCCGTAAGCATGCTTTGATCTACAGTTTATTTGACACTGAGTTACTAAATAACCATCACGTCATGCAAAACAGCAGCAGCATTAAACAACCCCCTTGAGGACGCCATTTTCAGTCCACCTTCAAGGGGACATAGGAAGTTTCTGCACCATGAAGCCTATGCATAGAAAGAAAGGGCCTGTTAGCTACAATTGAGATTTGCACATTAGCAATGCGGTTAAAAAAGTAAATAAGGACCCTTTATATCGATAAGAATAAACTAAATATCGGAAACACCCCAGTTTCTAACAATACAATCACAGCATACAGAATGAAAATATGAGTTTTAATAAGTACCTCTCTAAAAGACATTCATGAATGTAGGCTCTCGATTGGGTAACGTGATAAAAACTGCAAACCTTTTGTTAGTCTATTAATTTAACAGCGACACAGTAAATTTCAATTCGCACCTTAGTCTCGATGTATTTTCCCTGGGCAGGGAATTACAAAAGTTTTCCCCAATATGAGTAAAAATTATCTGATGTAACGGAACACAAGTTATTGTGGATATGGAGAAAATTAAGTTTCTTTTTGAACATAGTGAGCGCTGTTACGTTAAAAAAGAATGCTTCAGACGTGAGATCTTATTGCTGGACTAAGTACTGCCAAAACATGAAGTGCATTTCCAAACATTCCTTTAACACCCAGCTGAAAATCTGTTTCATTGAACTCTCATGGTAGAAAGGTTGGGTTGTGATCAGTTTGCTCAATTGTGAATCATTGGGGATTTTTAGAAGGAACATTTTTGTAAAGTCAACATGTTAGAGAAACGCTGTACGAAGAACAGATGCTCATTTCGTCAACATAGCGTTATTGCTTTAGTTCAGAAGAAACATTTGCTTTAATTAACCCATTTGCACTGACAAGATAAACAGCAAAATGTGAGAACCATTTTGGCAGCGTTTTACCCTGCACCTTTTAAACACAATGTGCAACTTGTGCTAAACATAAGTGGAGATATAGGCCCTCAATGAAAGGATATTTTATCTGAATTACTGGCTGCCATAAGCCTGCTTGCTGCTACAAAGCATTAGAAATGGGCTGTATACCAGTTAGAGGGTTGCGCCCTACAGTTTTAGAAGTACATTCAATAGAGCTGTGACTCAGTCTAGCTACTGAGCTAAAGAGAACAAGGGTTCAGTTTGTATTGTCCGCCAGTAACTACTGGGCTTACAGATTTTAAAACCATCAAAGTGGCCAAGATTCTTCAGTAAGAAACTAGGTCAGATTTAAGCTCAATCTCATTCACTTCAGGAATTTAATTTGTATGAAGCAATTTTATAAACTACAGTTATGGTATTATACCAGAGAAATCAGTGGGTATAGTTGCAAACATACATTTTCTAGTTTCAAATGACCATTGCAGACAATTCAGTTCAAAGTAATTTATTGTTTTTTCCCCCCAAAAAACGTAATGCCAGGAACCTGTGAACAGAAATATTCTTTAGTTAGTATGCAATACAATTCTTTACCCCAAAAAAGCATTACCTTGGGTTGACATTTAAAGCTCAAACTTACTGTGAGGGAAATGTTTTACATCGGCACCAGTGGACGCTGCCTTCTGGAATGGCACGGAGATTCCATTGAAATTGGTTTTGAATTTCTTGAATCAACATTTGATTTGGTAGGATCTGAAAACAAGTCCCACATGCCAGCTTTGGTTTGCAACACTGCTTTCTGGGGCTGGTAGACTGAATTAAAAGCGTGGGCCTGCTGGCTCCTGGGAGGCTTCTGCACATTGCCTGGATTGAAAGTGTGGGACTGCTGGGGCTTGGACTGGTAGCCTGTGTTAAAAGAGGAGAGCGCCTGGGGCCTGGGTGGTATCTGCAGGTAGCCTTTATTGGAAGTAGGCAGCTCCTGGGGCGGCTTCTGCAGGTAGCCTGTATTGGAAGTGGGCAGCTGCTGGGCCGGCTTCTGGAGGTAGCCTTTGTTGAAGATCGGTAACTGCTGGGGCTTGGGCAGCCTCTCCAGGTTGCCTGTATTGGAAGTGGGCAGCTGCTGGGCCGGCTTCTGCAGGTAGCCTTTGTTGAAGATCGGCAACTGCTGGGGCTTGGGCAGCCTCTCCAGGTTGCCTGTATTGGAAGTAGGCAGCTGCTGGGCCGGCTTCTGCAGGTAGCCTCTATTGAAGATCGGCAACTGCTGGGGCTTGGGCGGCCTCTGCAGGTTGCCTGCATTGGAAGTGGGCAGCTGCTGGGGCGGACTCTGCAAGTTTCCTGTATTGAAGGTGGGCAGCTCCTGGGGCCTGGGTGGCTTCTGCAGGTAGGCCATGTTGGAAGTGGGCAGCTGCTGGGGCTTGGGTAGCCTCTGCAGGTTGCCTGTATTGGAAGTGGGCAGCTGCTGGGGCCTGGGCAGGCTATGCAGGTTGCCAGTATTGGAAGTGGGCAGCTGCTGGGGCCTGGGCAGGCTCCCCGTATTGGAAGTGGGCAGCTGCTGGGGCGGCTTCTGCAGGTAGCCCATATTGAAAATAGGCAGCTGCTGGGGCCTGGGCGGCTTCTGCGGGTAGCCTGTATTGGAAGTAGGCACTTCCTGGGGCCTGGGCTGCTTTGGCAGGTAGCCCGGATTGAAAGTGTGTGGCTCTGAACCAGATTGCATAATAATTGCACTACTTGAAGCAATACCTGACTTAATACTTTTTCCATTTTGAGGGGCCAAATCCCAGTTGCCACCTTTGGTCGAGAATCTACCATTTGCATTGGGGTTAGTTTTAGGCGGCTGCTGAGAGTTTTGTTTCCTAAGGATCTGTGGTTCAGGCACGTAACTAGAAACACTTCCATATGGACTGTAACCATCTACTTGCCCACTTCCACCGTGACTGGATCCAGAACTACCCAGAAACCCTCCAGGCTGCACAGAACGCTCATAAGTTGACACAAAATCAGGGTTGTGGCTTCGTGGATGAGCAAAGAGAGGCCTAGTACCACTGGGGCCTCCACTTCTGTAGAGTGCTGTTAAAGAATAAATACATTTTAGAAACTTCTTTAAAAAAAAGGGGTTACTAAATTGAAACTGTAGCTGGTGTCACATTCATCCTTACCATTTGTATTGTGCCCAAATGCCAAAAGGGAGAGCACCAGCACTCTGAAAAAGAACATGAATTGACGTAAACATGGCATTATTTAAGACATTATATACACAGCTGCTGAAGAACGAAGCGTATTAATACCTCACGGAAAATCCAAAAGACATTTTGGGGTCTCAAGCTGACGTCAGACTCTGTGCTCTGCTCTCAGGAAGCTCAACAATATCTAGTCTCACAACTTCCTAATTGCTGCATGGACAGATGCCCTTTTCAAGTGTTGGAATCGTCCAATCACGTCTCACGCTGATGAAGTAATTGCAATCAGGTTGGTGTGTCCACGCCAACAACAGGTGTTTGCAATTCAGCTCATTTCAAAATGTTCTACATTCATGTCATCTGAGAACGGTCTACTTTGTTGACCTGCTTAAAGGTAAATCCACACAGATTACCAACTTTCTAATGCTGTGAGAAAAATGTCCTCATACGCGCAGTAGTTTTGATATTGTTGGTTGTTAGAAGGAGCTTCTTTGGAATTAAATAATTGACATCAATTAAAATTACCAACAAGGTCATTTGCAAACAATAATAATGACGGGGAAACACACTGGGATCAGGGTCCAATAACCAAACTATAAATTGAATCTGAAAATTGTTAGTCAAGTAACTATTACACTTGAAGAGCGAAGGATGAACGTCTGAATTTGAGCGTGGGCCGTGTTTGGACACCAATCCTCCCAAAGTAAAGAAATAACAGTAAACTCCAATTTAATGTATAACAGACTTTATCAACTTCCAACACTGACTACACTAACTAAATCCTGACGGTTATGCATAGTCACACAACTGATTTATGACTAAATTTTAAGGAAATGTTAGAGGAAGGGAAGGTTTGAGATTTCTCCACAGTTATCTTACCCCTCTGCATCAAGAGTGGGTTTGATAAGGTTTGATCACAGCTACTCTGAAGGACTGTGGTACATATCCTGCTGACACTTTAAGCAGCTGTTACTAGGGTTCTTAGATTTGACAAAGATCACTACTGGTTGAGGGTAGGGGATTATGAATTTTCTCCGATAGTTCGGTCATCATTAGTTTATAGTTTATAAATTCCTTACCACTGAGGTCTATAGCAGTGGTTCTTTTTCTGTCCGACCCACTGTGGAGGAAGAAAAATGTTCACTCCTCACCACCACAACAAAAATTTTACATGTTGAATTTTTATTAAAATAACATTTTGTATCTCCTCCATCTGTGTTTATAATGGAAGAGACGAGTGCAACCGCTTTCAAGAAAACCAATAAACTGGCAATAAAGAGTTTTACACTGCATATATTTTCAAAACAACAATAATGTGCCACCTGTGCAAAACAAAGTTAGTACGGGTAAAGGCCATCTCAATCTGACTTGTGACATGTGACTTCCATAAGCCTGCTTCCAACTACAAATGTTTTAAAAACAGGGTTGTAGACTTAGATACGGCCAATTCCATCTCAATGTTTAGCTTGGATCTGTGTGTCGTTTAGAGAGAGGCAACAGCAGTCTGTGTACTTTGTACTTTTGTAAGAGGAAAGGAAATTTGGCAGCAATGGTCTAGCTATTGTCTATGAGAAAGACAGTGTTTATAGACATACTTCAATACAAATTGGATTTTTTTTCCACTCTCCGTACAGATGGGAGGACCCATCAGGCAATATTTTTTCCTTGCATTTATGATTCAACAGTGCCAGGACGTCAGAGATCACACAGGAAAAATCTCAAAAGCTGACTCTCTTTCGGGACACAGCGTCGTGCTAATTTATCGCTCGAGTGGAAATATTTCAAATGCGTTTCAGTGACACGTGATCTGCGTATTCGCATCTTGATTTTGTTCGATTTGCATCTTTGCATTGGATTTATATGTCTCACTGGAACTTCCAAACAGGATGTTTTAATTAGTATTAATTCATTACAGGACTCATAGAAGACCTGCAAGATTTTTTTTCTGCATTTGGGGGTTGGTAGACATGCCAGACAGCCACATTGACCTGAAAAAGCACTATCAAAGTAGAATTTTCATAAAATATCCCCTTTAAAACCACTTCACTCCTTTTGAGAACAGCTGCCCAGCACTTCCACACAACACTATTATTTAATATCCTGCTGATGTAGCTGATGTAGAACAGACTTGTCACCTCACTAAGTCCTTCTCAATGATGTCATCGTCACAACTGATCAGCTGGGTTTACACATTTAAAACACTGTGTAGTAGTAAGCAATGAGGCCATGTAGGTATCTTACAATTGTTCCATAGGTTTCACACTGGAAGGTCTCCTCTGTCAGCGTGGTTGGTGGGGGTGAACATTTGAATCAATAGAGGTGCACCAGAGCAGCGCTGCCCGAGGCGGTAACAATGTGACGGAAAGATGGGAATATGGATAAAAGCACACAAGCTTCATTATTCTGGAGTTTTTTGGCATTGATTCCAGCTTCTGACTTTTATTCCCTAAAAAGTCCATTCACGTTCACGACCCCTCAGAGAAAAGTCAGTTGACTTCTCGCTAAAGATAAAGAAGTAGGCTACTTATTCTCGTGTCTAACTTTCAATCAACCAAAAAGGACAAGTTGCATGCATCTTCTTCGCATAATTTAATATTTATGAGGGTTTATTCAAAACATAAAATTCAAGCACACAATATGAGTTATGTAAATCTCGTATTATTATTATTATTAGGCTACTCTGCGGGTCTGTGCTATTGCTAACAGCAATGATAAAGGAGAATAATACAGAGATCATCACGTCTGTTGAGCCACTTTGGATAAATTACATAGTTGGCTGAATGAATAATAACACGATATCAAGATCATTAGAAAGATCCCTAAAGAAGACTCCAGACTCGACTGCCACAGTCATTTGCATGAGTAATTACTGCTCTACCTATAGGTCAGCCCTGACAAATGCACTTTTATTGATATTGAAGGCCGGTGGCAGGAAATTGATAGGTCAAGACAAGTTGTTCAGGACCCAGGCTTTTGTCAATTATTGAGCAGTCCTTTTCAAAGGTCTTAATGGAGTTCCGATGTGTGTACTTCACCATCAGAGGTTCAATACCGAAGAGGAGGAAGACGTTTGTTATCACTTTGTGTCATACATAGTAATTATTGGGATGTTTTGTCGCAAAAAAAACTAGTAGCCACAAGTCTCAAAAACACATTTGTGAAGACCAATGCATACATTTAAAAATAACATATACATACTGTATATGTGTATGTAAATACCCTAGTTTTGTGTAATATTAAAAAATGTTAATTCATATCTAAATTGTTTTTTTTTTCGTTGAAAATCCATTGCATGATAAATTCTTTTTGGTGTTCAAATGAAGTGCTGGCAAATGATCCATGCTCAAAAGGTCCCATCAGGCTCAGGACTGAGACACAAATATGATGCCTTAGTTACACCGACTCAATGAAGAGTGACGAATCATTTTCCTTTCATTAAGTAAAAGTCAACACACTGCACATGAATGCGGCACTGTGGGCAAAGACATGCACATAAAGCCCCTCCACATACCACATGTAAAGAGTTCATATCAGTGATCTGCCCTCATTTGACTGCTCAGAATCAGCCTATTTAGCTCATGACCTCACTTGACCTTGATGCTGAAACAGAGTTCAGACAATAGAGCACTGTGCACGGTTGATCCCTGCAGGGTCGCACCTGCACACTAACTACGCCGGTTTATTACATGGCTGTCTCAGTGTTCACGCCTTCTTGATCAAGCTGAACCATTCGAGTCCCATAAAGCTCAAAAAGCGCATTACTCGACCCTCATTATGTGTGTATTCCAACAAAAAGTTCAAAAGTTGTTTCTCATGTCTATTTTACTAAGTCAAATTAAATGATGAGACTCAATGATTATTTCTAAATTTGTCTTGAAAACCTCGTAGGGATAAAAGATGTGCAATCAGAGTGTAGTTTCTATCCAGGCTATAGATTCTACACACCGTTAAGATAATGATGGTATTTGGACTTTTTGGGGGCAATATGGAGAAGGGAGGACGGCGATGCAAACATTCATAATATAATTCAAAGCTCAGCAGTTTTCAAAGCGTTTTTCTAATTGTGATAGTTAGCTCTTCATAAACACTGCAATCTCACTAAATTATACAGAAGATGCACAAGATGCATTTTTCATTTGGACCTCGAAGGCCACATGTTCCCATAACTTCCCATCTGGAACAGATATGGCGAGCGCTAACTGATCTAACATGTTTGGGAAATAGTCGTTGCCAGGTAAAGGCCAATGTCAAAATGCAACTACTGCAACTTCTTTATCTCCTCCAGGCCTGTGAGCATATTATGCGTTTGATTGTGTGTGTCTGTCAGTCCACGGCTAGTCTTGGCATACTGCTACACTCTATCTTTTGTGATCCTTTATGACTGCAGTGGCCCACTCTGCTCCACCTAGGTTGTGAAACGTAAATGTTGATATTGATAGGCATCAATTGATAGGCATCAATATCAAATTTAGGCACGTATTAAGGGCAAAAATAGACCTGATGAGTAAAATGCTTCAGGTCATGGTCATGCGCAGGCACACAAGGTGTCAGTGTCCAGCGGCTTTTTTCCACCCGACAGCGAATAAGTGCTCAAGGAGTGGGTTGCAGCCCATTCCCTTACGTAAGGTGCAGCTAACAAGCAAGCATCACTACTTGTGACACGTTCACTGAAACACAATTACAGTCATATATCATGCTTGCAAAATCTATTTTTGGTGCTGTTTATGTGCATCTTGCCTCCTCCATGAAAAAAAAGAAACGGTTTTAACCGCTCACCAACTCTTTGAGTTATTTGTGTCATTCACAACATGGATGGATGGATAGATTTAAATTATATAAAACATTCACAAAAGGTCAGCTACTGCAGTAGCTGCTTAATACATCATCTACATGTCTGTACAAACTACATGTGTAGATGTTTCACAAGATAAAAACCTAAAACCTAAGGCCTGTTGGTGGTTGTAGGTGAAAAGTCAGTAGGATTCATCTTCTGTAGACCATGAGTATCCCAACCAAACCTATGGCAATCACAGAATATGACAAAAGCATTTCTTGCTTGGACGTTTGTGTATATATTGTTTGTATTCAGACATGACTGTAAGAGCCATTATGATTTGTGTAAAGGATCTGATTGATGGGCGGGTCAGCCTATATAGGGTAGGAACCTTTGGGGGCTCGGCAGGTGTTTCCAGCCGGAATAGGAAAACAGTTTTTGACCG